AACCTTCCCAGCCAGCTTCTGACAAATATATCAACAGAGAATGAACGCCACTGCCCTTCTAACACTGATGATGTTACCTAGTTGGGTAATGAAACGTCTGCAAGAAAACAAGCAAGCTCAGAGAGCCACCAAGGACCCCACAGCCCTCCTCCTCCTCTTCCTTCACAAACTCCACTCCCTTCTACCACTGATGATATTACCTAGTTGGGTAATGAAATGTCTGCAAGGAAATAAGCAAGTTCAGAGAGCACCAAGGACCCAACAGTCCTCCTCTTCCTCCTTCTCCTCCTCCTCCTCCTTCACAAACCCCACTCCTAGCACTGATGATGTTACCTAGTTGGGTAATGAAATGTCTGCAAGAAAACCAAGCTGAGAGAGAGAGCACCGAGGACCCCACAGGTGAACCCTGAGCTGTACATATTCTCCTCTATTAATAAATACTCTGCGGACTTTTTCCATCTCCATCGCCGCCTTTCTACCTTTCTCTCTCTCTTCCCCCCCTCCAGTCCGTGTTCAAGAATTACGATCCTGACCAACGGGACAGCATCTCTCAGGAAGACTTTGAGAACATTTCTATGAGTTTCCCTTTCTCCTTCTACGGCTTGGAAAGAGAACGGTAAGCACTGGGCCTGCGTGGAAAGGAGGCACTGCCAGGTTGTCGTTAAAGTGGAAATCTAGGGCGTGTCTCCTTGAAACGGGAGGCCCACCCGGATCGCCTGCGAGTACGGGCAGAAGGAGACCTCACAAACACCCAGTTCCTAGCTTCAACCGCCAAACCAAACTTGTCTCTCTTTTATCGCAGGGAAGGAACCTGGAGTCGAGAAGATCTTTCGGAGTATTTCATGAGGGCCTGCGCTATCTTCTCTAGGCTGGGCCTTGGGTTCCTGCACGATTTCCAAGAGGTCAGCTTTAAGAAACCCACCTTCTGCGACCACTGTGGTGGCTTTGTGAGTTTACGCACCTTTCCTGATATCTCTCCCCCCCCCCCAATTTTGCATTGGCAGAAATGGCCGCTGGAAATGTAATAGCAGAGATGTTTTTGCACAACATTATTTCTATGTTGTGCAAAAGACAACCGAAGAGGCTGCCCAGAATTGGCACCTGTGCCCAAAGCCAGTAGTGGCAGAAAGGACATTTTGCAGCTAGACCCTATCCGCCTCCTCCTTCTCTTCCTCCTCCTCCTCGTTGGAAGGGATCTTAGAGGTCATCTAGTCCAACCCCCTGCTCAGGCAGGAAACCCTATCCCATTTCAGACAAAGGGCTGTCCAGTCTCTTCTTAAAAATCTTCAGTGTTGGAGCATTCACCGCTTCTGGAGGCAGGTTGTTCCACTGGTTAATTGTTCTCACTGTCAGGAAGTTTCTCCTTAGTTCTAGGTTGCTTCTCTCCTTGATTAGTTTCCATCCGTTGCTTCTTGTCCTGCCTTCAGGTGCTTTGGAGAATAGCTTGACTCCCTCTTCTTTGGGGCAGCCCGAGATACTGGAAGACTGCTATCATGTCCCCCCTCGTCCTTCTCTTCACTAGACTAGACATACCCAATTCCTGCAATCGTTCTTCATATGTTTTAGCCTCCATATTTAAGTAGTTCCCTCCGGAACTATCAGCCTTGCTAGTCTCTCAGCCTTCGAGGCCCTCCATCAGGACTAGGAACATACTATTTTGTTTTTTTGAAAAAGAGTGATTTGAGGCCAGAGTATCTTCAAGGATGCTTTATTCCCATTTTCTCGCTGTCCTGCGTATGCACGAGAACGGTTCTAAAACCTTGCTCCCCAAGCTTAGCCAGTTAAGAGATGTGGACTTCAACTCCCAGAATTCCCCAGCCATAACCCTCCTGTTGGAAGCTAACTCTGGGGACTACAAAAATAAAAATAAAAAAAAATAAAGGAAAGCTCTCAAACCAAGATGTATATTTGAGGTGGGAAGCGAAGCGACAAAGAAGTTGAACGAAAATAAAATAGATAAGCTCTATTGTCATTTTTAACTGCGGGCACAACGGCACACGTTAAAATAGGGTGCAAGAATTGGCTGGGGATGCTCGTGGAGCGGTTTGCATCCTCCAGATGTGGTCTCAAGGGGTTCTTGCAATTTAAACTGACCCCCCCCCCTTTTTTTTCTTCCTTTCCTGATGTAGCTATGGGGAGTCTCCAAGCAGGGATACAGATGTAGAGGTGAGTACGCCCTCTGCTGGGTTCTGCGGGGCAGTACAACTGCTTTTCGGAATGCCAGGAGGTGGGAACCCCCCCTCCAAATTGGGACAGCTGCAATTGGGTGTAAAAAGGGGCTTAGGGTTAGCAAACCCCACCACACACACACACACACACACATCCTTCTAGCACTGATGATGTTACCTAGTTTGGTAATGAAACGTCTGCCAGAAAACAATCCCAGCTCAAAAGCACCCAGGACACTATATTAAGCTGGAGAATAATCCTCACAATAACTACAATTCACCTTTACTCACTACCAACACAAGGAAATTGTGAACCGGTGTCCAAATGAAGCCACGGAGGCTGACACGAAACCCGTAGTTTCATATAAGCAAATCTCAATTTATATATACACCAAACTAGACAGTTAGGCAAACAGGAGCAGCCTCCTGAGGTAAATCAACACCGTAGGTAAATCGTGAGGTAAATTACAAAGCACACCCAGGAAAAAAATGTGTGTGTGGTGGGGGAGAGAAACACCTCCTTTTACACTCTGATACCAATTCACCACAACTGCACAACCCCACTGCTCCAGTTACTAAATTTAAATAACTGAAATGATTATAAAGTGCGCTACTGACCTCCTCTGCTCCTCATTTGGAGTTTGACTCTTCAGTCACATTCCTGATTCGCGAGGGGGGAAAAAAGTATACTTTAGTGCTGAAGCAATAAAAGTGCCTTGACCCAGCCCTATGGGTGTTGTAGTACCAGGCTGGAGAAGACGGGGGGGGGGCAGGAGCCATTGGGGCGAGGCTCCATCTTCTCATTGCTTTGAATTGAAGCCTTTTGGGGTTTTTTTTTTGGTTATCCTCTCCAGATTGTTCCATGATCTGTCACAAACACTGCAAGAACCAGGTGGAGTTGGAGTGTCAAAGTCGCCACTTCCTTTCTTCCTCCTCCTCCTCCTCCTCCGACAGCACACCGCGCACAGCCACGTTGGCCACCAGTCACCATCCCAGCTCTGGTAATGTGGGTCGTTGGGGATTAAAAAAGCAAATTAAAAAACAAAACCAAAAAGAACACGCACGACCACCTTGCTTCGTTGACGGAGATTCTGTTCCCAATTTATGATCGTTAAGCCGAGGTTTACCTGCGCAGGTAATCCTGGACTGACCGCCGTTCGCTTAGCCAGGGTTCGAAGTCACAACGGCACTGGAAAAAAGTGACTCGCGCTTATGACCGTTGCACCACCTCCAGAGTCGCATCAAAATCCGCCCGCTTAGCGACGGGCGTGTGTTTAGCACGATTGCATTGTCCTGAGGTTATTGTGATCCCCTTTTGCGACCTTCGGACAAGCACAGTCAATGGGGAAGAAGCCAGATTCACTTTACAACGTCCAGGTTGTTGACTTAACAACCGCAATGATTCGGTTAACAACTCTGGCAAAGAAAAGGGGCAAGAAAGGGGCAGGACTCGGTTAACAACTGCCTTGCTTAGCAACGGAAATTTTGGGCTCAGTTGTGATTGTTGAGAGCTGTGGTGGCGCAGTGGTTAGAATGCGGTACTGCAGGCTACTTCTGCTGACTGCCCGCTGCCTGCAGCTCGGCAGTTCGCTCCTGACCGGCTCAAGGTTGACTCAGCCTTCCATCCCTCCGAGGTTGGAAAAATGATGACCCAGATTGTTGGGAGCAATGTGCTGACTCTGTACACTGCTTAGAGAGGGCTGTAAAGCACTGTGAAGCGGTATATAAGTCTAAGTACCCTTCCTTCCTTCCTTCCCTTCCCAGTGGTTAGAATGCAGTATTGCAGGCTGACTCTGCCCACTGCCAGGAGTTCAATCCTGACCAGCTCAAGGTTGACTGAGCCTTCCATCCTTCCGAGGTTGGTCAAATGAGGACCCAGATTGTTGAGGCAACAGGCTGACTCTATAAACCAATTAGAGGGCTGTAAAGTACCGTGGAGTGGTATATAAGTCTAAGTGGCTATTGCTATTACTACCTACAGTATCCCATCCCAAGTTATCACAGCCTGAAGATGAACCGCTTCAAAGATCACCTGGCCAAGGACGCGAGGATCACCCCAACAGCATCTCCCGTGTCTGAGATCTGGACTGATGTCCTTATTCTGTGGCTAACCTGGCCTCTTTCTTTCACCTTGCAGGCTCAGAGGAAGAAATGTTTCTCTTCCCACCAGGATGGGAACAGGGCAAGAGTCCCATGGTCTCGTTGTCCACCAGCCCGGGCAGCCGGCTGGTCAAACATGCCTCCACCCAGACCGAGCAGACTGGCCAAGCAGCTGAAGAGCGGGAAGAACGGCCGCCGGGTAGTTGCAACAAAACTCAGAAGCAGCTCCTGGAACTGGTGAAAGAGCTGGAAAAGGTGAGGATATGGACAGGGGAAATCGTTGTGGAACTCGTTGTTTCTCAACCCCCCCCCCAGGCATTTTAAAATGGGTGGACTCCACCTCCCAGAATTCCCTAGCCCGTTTGCGGTGTCTTACAGGATCATGAACACATTTTACGACAGCTCGGTCAAAAATAGGCATTTACTGGCCAAAACTGGCCCCCTAGAGAACCAGTGGCTTGTTTAACGACCGTGGCATTGTGCACGTCCACCTCAAAAAGAGCTGGTGAAATTGGGTGATTCAGCTTCTGACAGTCATGACTAATGACCAGGCTCCATTATAATTGTAAGTCAAGGACTACCTGTATCTCAGAGCTTGAAAGATGCCTATATGTTAGTGATAAAGGCGAATATTTGTAGCTCAAGGTTGAAATGAGGGGTCCTTGGTGCTCTCTGAGCTTGGCTGTTTTCTTGCAGACGTTTTATGACCCAACTAGGTAGCATCATCAGTGCTAGAAGGGAGGGGGGTTTGCAGAGTGGGAGGAGGAGGAGGAGGAGGAGGAGGAGGAGGAGGAGGAGGAGGAGGAGAAAGAATGTGGGGTCCTTGGTGCTCTCTGAACTGGGTGGTTTTCTTGCAGACATTTCATGACCCAACTAGGTAACAGCATCAGTTCTAGAAAGGAGATGGAGGAGAGGAGGAGAACTATGGGGTCCTTGGTGCTCTGAGCTTGGCTGTTTTCTTGCAGACGTTTCATGACCCAACTAGGTAACAGCATCAGTGTTAGAAGGCAGTGGGGTTGGCTCTTATTTTTATAGACTAGTAGCATGCCCTGTCTGTGTTGGTGGGAGTGATCTTGAAGGGTCTTTGGTTTGGGCCATTTACTGTTAGCTTGTTTGGCAATTCTTTCATTGGGGTATTAAGAAATACTGTTTACTTCTTGTTTATAAGAAGTAAATAATACCCCAATCAAGGAACTGCCAAACAAGCTAACAGTAAACAACAGCCAAATCAAGGAATCACCGAGAACACGCCCACTGACACTGACAGGGCAAGCTGCTCATGTAGAAATGTATAAAACAGTATATGAAAACTAGCATATAAAAATAAGAGCCAACCCACTCCCTTTGAGGATGTTGCCTAGTTTGAGTAATAGCAATAGCCCTTAGCCCTTAGATTTATATACTGCTTCATGGTGCTTGACAGCCCTCTCTAAGCGGGTTACAGAGTCAACACATTGCCCCCAACAATCTGGGTCCTCATTTTAGTGACAATGGAAGGGTGGAAGGCTGAGTCCACCTTGAGCCGGTCAGGATCGAACTGCTGGCAGTGGGCAGAGTCAGCCTGCAATACTGCATTCTAACCACTGGGAAGGAAGGAAGGAAGGAAGGAAGGGAGGGAGGGAGGGAGGGAGGGAGGAAGGGGAGGGGAGGGGGGAAGGAAGAGCACTTAGACTTATATACCGCTTCACAGTGCTTTACAGCCTTCTCTAAGTGGTTTACAGAATCAGCACATTGCCCCCAACAATCTGGGTCCTCATTTTAGTGACATCAGAAGGATGGAAGGCTGAGTCAACCTTGAGCCCGTCAGGATTGAACTGCTGGCAGTGGACAGAGTCAGCCTGCAATACTGCATTCTAACCACTGGGAAGGGAGGGAGGGAGGGAGGGAAGGAAGGAAGGAAGGAAGGGCACTTAGACTTATATACCGCTTCACAGTGCTTTACAGCCCTCTCTAAGCGGTTTACAGAATCAGGACATCAACAATCTGGGTCCTCATTTTACTGACTTCAGAAAGCTGAGTCAACCTTGTAATAAAACATCTGCAAGAAAACCACCAAGCTCGGGGAGCACGGGGGGGCTTCATGTCAGCCTCCCATCACTCTGAGCGAAGGTGTCATTGGTTCTTGTCTAAACCGCTTTCTCTGACCTGCAGGAACGGGACAGGCTGGTCACCGCCAACCAGTGTCTTCAGAACCGCTACACACAGCTGGAGGCCGAGAACAGGCAGCTCCTGAAAGCCGGCAGTCCGGGGTCCCTGTATGAAATCGCCCCCCGGTTTATCTGAAATCAGCTCTTCCGCTGCTGTTCTCTGCCGCAAACTCTAGTAACTGGAGACCCTTCCCGGCGGGCAAGCCTTGAGCCTCGAAGTGCCGGAGATCAGGAGAAGAGACTGGCGGAGGACGCTGAAAAATTAAAACGGCAAGAAAAAGGAAAAATTGGGAGCCGAGAACAGATGCTGTCCTAGGGGTTTTTGTTGAGTTTCCAGTTGAGGAAATTAACAACCTTTGCAGTCCTAGAAGGAACAGCGTGAATCTGACCCCTTTCCGTACAGCTTCAGATTTGTATTTATTTATTATGTTGTTTTTTTGTAAAGTACGCGCTGCCCCATTTTATGGCTCTGGCAGTTTGGGGGATTTGTGAATAAAGAGCACAAGAATGAATACCAGCGGCATTAATATCCCTAACCTAAAAGCAACCTGTTTGAATGTCCCTGAGAAATGTCAAAAGACGGAAGGGGGCGAGCTTCAACGACCAGTTGTTCAATCACGCAGGCCCACTGCAAAATACCCAGAAATCTTTGGTGAAATGGCAAAAAAACCCCACAAAAAACCAACCCTGGCCATGAAGACTGCCTGCAGCTTTAAGATGGATGGACTTCAACTCCCAGAATTCCCTAGCCAGCATGCTTTTAAGATGGGTAGATTTCAACTCCCAGAATTCCCTAGCCAGCATGCTTTTAAGATGGGTGGACTTCAACTCCCAGAATTCCCCCCGCCTGAAACTCTACACAACCAACCAGAAGGCAGAAAAATAAAGAGTTTTATTTAGAACAGGATCTTTACACAGCAAGAGTTTGGGCTGAGTGAGAACAATTAATGTCAGAGCTGTGCGAGTGGATCCCAGACGGCTAAATTTCAACCGTGTCTATTTGTCCCATCCTCAAACAACACCTGACAACCCCTTTCTCCCTTTTTGTTAAACACAAAAGGCCACTGGGCCATCAATACATATGATCATTCTGGGTCTCCCAGATGTATAAGCCACAATTCTCTTATTCCTCAGCCAGGGAAGCTGGCAGATCTGCTGACTGGAGATTAAGGAAGTTCTAGTCTTCCGTCCTCTAAAAAAAACTCAGGTGAATAATAAAAAAAAAAAGCTCAAGATAATCAACAAGGAGAAAAGAGGCACTTTTCCCTCCAATCATAACCCCCACCCCAGCAATATTTTATGCATTTCTGCTTCTGAATTAACAGATACCCACTTTGGGATCTTTTAATTTTTTTACAGCGGAAATCTAGATCAAAGCCCATTGACCTTATCTTTTTTCCACAGCTACGCACCCCGTTCCAAGTTGTTTTAGAGTGACGTTTACTTTGGGGGAAATTAACTCCAAACACAAAATACTGATTTTTGGATTTCAGGCAGCCAACCAATGCTTATAGCAGCTTCCAAACCTTTAAAGCAACCCAGCTGGTAGGGCACGCAGCCTCTGGTCCCCAACCTTCCCCCCCTAGCTTAGGAGAATTACGCTTCTCCTAAAGTCAGCACAGTCTTTGGATTATGGGAGCTGGCTTAAAGAGCCCCGCCCTTAGTTAAAGCTGCCTTGGGCTCCGTGCTGGAGAAAGGCAAGACTGAGGATTTGACGCTTTCAGTGAGAATCAGTGGCTTCTTTTGTTTCATTTTCTGGCCAGGCCAACCCACAGCAGCCAGTTTAATACCCTCTTCTTTATTTCTTCTTTTTCTTGCCCTGTTTAGCCCAGCGGTGGCCGCCTCCACCACCACCGCCTCCGTCTCTCCTCTTCTCCCAGGTGGGCATGGGGCGCTCAATTTCGTTCGGACGTCCTCCCCGGTATGGGACGCTGCCGGTCATCAACACCTGTGGGAGGGAGGGAGGAAGGAGAGGAGAGGGAGAAAAGGAAGGAAGGAAGGAAGGAAGGAAGGAAGAAGGGAAAAGAAAGGGAAAGGGAAGGGAGGAGAAAAAGGAAGGAAGGAAGGAAGAAAAAAGGGAAGGCAGGAGAGAGGGAGAAGAAGGAAGGAAGGAAGGAAAAGAAAGGGAAGGCAGGAGAGAGGGAGAAGAAGGAAGGAAGGAAGGAAGGAAGGAAGGAAGGAAGGAAGGAAGGAAGGAAGGAAGGAAGGAAGGAAGGAAGGAAGNGGAAGGAAAGATGAAGGGAGAGGACACCACCATCCTCTCTCCTCTGCCTCTCCACCCCAAGGGTCAACTCCTTTGAGCAAGCAAAGCTGCAGATGTAAAGTCAGGGTTTTGCTATGCCCAACCACAGTCGGTTGAGTAAACAGCATGACCTGGCATTGGGGGATGGGCTAAGCTTGAACAGCTTGAAACCCCCCCCCCCCAGGGTTCTCCTCCCTCCCCCTCCAGCTGCTGGTGACCCAGATGTCCCCTCCAGCTCATACCTTATTGACAGCACAACTGGTTTTGCTCCGCAAGGCACCGCTGCTGGTCTTGACGATACGAGAAAAGTCCTCCCGGGCAGCCAGCAGGTGGGCAAGGCCGAGCTGGGCGTCTTCCGGCAAAGACTGCCGCAAGGGCTGGAAGGCTTTGGACATGGCTGTGCTTCGGTTCTAGCCGGGACAAGAGATGAGAAACACAGCAAGAATCCTGAGACAGTCGTGGTGTCTCTCTTCCCCAACTCCAGTTTGTTCTAGTGGTTAAGGCACTAGGGTAGAAAGCAGGAGACAGTGAGTTCTAGTCCTGCCTTAGACATGCAAGCCAGCTGAGTGACTTAGACATGAAAGCTGGGTGAGTGACTTTGAGCCAATCACCAGGAGACGGCGAGTTCTAGTCCTGCCTTAGATATGAAAGCCGGCTGGGTGACTTTGAGCCAATCACCAGGAGATGGTGAGTTCTAGTCCTGACACGAAAGCTGTCTGGGTGACTTTGGGCCAGTCTTTCTCTCTCAACCCAACCCACCTCACAGGGTTGTGGTAGGGAAAATAGGACAGTGGGTTGGATACATTCCCCCTCTTGAGTTATTAAAAAATAATAAAGGAGGGCTATCAATCAACCCATCAGTCAGTCAGTCAGTCAGTCATGGAATGAAATCAATGCTGCTAATACAACAGCCCCTTGACTCTACCTTGGCCCTCTCAGACCAATGGAAGGAGGCCACGGTGATGTCAAAACGGGTGAGCATCATGTGTCTTCGGCACTGGTATTCGGCCGCCAGCACTCGGTTAATCTCCTCCAGCGCTTCCTGGTATTTTAAGGAGACAGAACGGGAAAGCAGAGATGCTTAAGCTCCACCAGCACCAGACCAGGAAGCCCACCCCCACCTCCTCCTCTGCCGCAAACACAACGGCCCTCCTACCCATTGCTCAGAGGTCAAGGGGGCCTTCAGGAGCGGTGCCGGCCACTGTGGCTGGGGCGCCTGCGCGGTGAGTGCCTCTGAAACCTGAAGGAAGCACGGAGTTAGGTTTCGTAGCAAAAGAGGTAGACAATACCACAATTATTAACACAATCAAGTGTTAAGGCCACTTTGTAAGGCCTTGGTTAAGACCACTCTCTGGGGGACTGACAAACTAAGCTTTTGTCGCATCTTGACACACACACCCCAACGATCAGGGGTCCTCATTTGACCGACCTGGGAAGGACGGAAGGCTGAGTCAACCTGGAGACCCGTCGGGATCGAACTCCCGGCGGTGGGCAGAGTCAGCCTGCAACTCTGCGTTCTAGCCACCGCGTCGCCAGGGCTCGTTAAGCGCGAGGACCAGTCACAGATCACCTTTTTCAGAACAGCAGGAGTTGGAAGGGATCTGTGAGGTCTTCTAGTCCAACCGTCTGCTCAGGCAGGAAACCCTATTCCAGGGGTCTGCGACCTTGACAACTTTGAAGACTTGTGGACTTCAGCTCCCAGAATTCCTCAGCCAGCAAGTCTTCAAAGTTGTCAAGGTCGCAGACCCCTGCCCTAGACCACTCAAGACAAATGTTGTCCTTACAAATCTCCATCGTTGGGAGGACCCACAACTCGTTCCATTAATTTTCAGCGCCATTGTTTTAACCTCAGTCGCTAAACGGATGTTCGTAAGTCGAGGACTCCTGGTATATCCCCTCCCTCATCTTGGCAAGCAACTGGGCGTCTTCAGGTTTTTCGACATCGAAAAGGAGCTGAACTGGCTGCCTGTGGCCTTCCGGGTGCGCTTCAAGGTGTTGACTATCATCTTTAAAGCGCGCCATGGCATCGGACCTGGTTACCTCCGAGACCGCCTTCTGCCACAGATTACCTCTCACCGGCCGATACGCTCCCACAGAGAGGGTCTCCTCAGGGTGCCGTCAACCAGACAGTGCCGGCTGGCGACCCCCAGGGGGAGAGCCTTCTCTGTCGGAGCCCCCACCCTCTGGAACGAACTACCCCCAGAGATCCGGGTGATTCCGGATCTCCCCTCCTTCCGCCGCGCCCTCAAGACATGGCTGTTTCAGCTGGCAGGACTGGCCTAAGGGGATTTTAAATTTGGTTTTTAAATAACTTTTTAAAAAAGGAAGAAAAGGCCCATATTAATATTTCTTTTTAACTATATTTTAAATTTTGTATATTGTATTGATTGTTGTGTTTTTTAAACTGGCTGTAAGCCGCCCTGAGTCCACCAGGAGAAGGGCGGGGTATAAATGTAAT